TTTTTAAGCTGGAACCATACAAAACTTGACTTTCAAAATTTTGACTACACCCGACATAACAAATACAATTTTTGCTTCTAACGTACCTGTACTCCTTTGTTGAAATCAGCTCCGTTCTCTAAAAGTAACCTAACAATATCAGTGTGACCATTCTTTGCAGCTGCAGTGAGCGGAGTGTCCTCCTATACGTAGGAAAAAAATTCGAAAAAGCACGGTAATGTATAAAGGTCATATTCTCCTCTTTTAATGGCCACGGTAAGGAAAAATCTGCGTTTGGAACAACTATATTCTGCAGGACTTTTTCAAGCTAAGGTCAAAAGGAGTTTTACGTTCTACAATAGTTCAGGAAAAATTCGTATTAATGGTTCGAAGGGGTACTAAGAATGAAGCAAAAAAAGAACACTCTATCCAGGAATAATGGGAATCTAAAACTTTTCAAGCAAGGCTTATCAAAGTAACACTTCGAAAGAATATAATGGGTAGAATGTCTCAAGCGCATGAGACAGTTTGATATTCACTAATGGAAAAACTGCGCAGTTTTAAACCATATCTAATCAAAACGTCCTTTGAGTCGTTCCTTTCAAGGTCATGATTTCCATCATCGGGTAACGGGCTTGGTGCACACTTATCGCAGTACCTTTTTCCCATCGATGATTTTTTTTTCAATTACTCTAATTTAAAGAGGATAATTTACACACTAAAAATTAGGCAAAGAAAATATAGGTAACCGTGCTCGTTCAAGAGCTATAGACCATCGTACCTCTTTACCTGATCTATCGATTCAAAACCAATACCATGATGCAGGGATGTATGCACGCTTATTCCCCTGATTACATATTTTTTTATGCGAAGTACACGATGCAATACTGATAATTCAACTTAAACATTCTCGACTAGTCGCCACCATCTAACAAATTTAGCCGTTCTTTTAAAAACAGCATTGGTCTCCAAATAATTTTTTTTTCATGTTTGCGTTACTTTCTACCCAAGTTTCCTAGCAGTTCGCAACGAAATTATGTTATGACTAGGCTGGCACTACATCGTTACCAGAGAAACAACAACAAAGGAATAGAAAGAGCTCGCAACTTTTGGAACGTTTTTCTTAAGAGCGAAAAAGTTCGACCAACCATACAAAACTTGACTTTCAAACTTTGCCTAAACCCGACATAAAAAAAGCAATTTTTGTTTCTAACGTACCCATACTCCTTCGTTGACATCAGCTCCGTTCTCTAAAAGTAACCTAACAATATCAGTGTGACCATTCTTTGCAGCTGCAATGAGCAGAGTGTCCCCCTATAAGTAGGAAAAAAATTGGAAAAAGCACGGTAATGTATAAACGTCATATCCTCATCTTTTAATGGCCACGGTAAGGATAAATCTGCGTTTGGAACAACTACAAGGAGTTTTACCTTGTGCAATAGTTCACCAAATCATAAGAATTCTTATTACTGCTTCGAAGGGGTATTAAGAATGATGCAAAAAAAAGAATACTCCATCCAGGAATAATGGGCATCTAAAACTTTTCAAGCAAGGCTTATCAAAGTAACACTTCAAAAGAACATAATGGTTAGAAGGTCTCAAGGGCATGAGACAGTTTGATATTCACTAGTGGAAAAACTGCGCAGTTTTAAACGATATCGCATCAAAACGTCCTTTGAGTCGTTCCTTTCAAGGTCATGATTTCCATCATCGAGTAACGAGCTTGGTGCACACTTTTAGCTGTACCTTTTTTTCCCGTCGATGTTTTTTTTAATTACTCTAATTTAAAGAAGACAATTTATACACTAAAAATTAGGCAAAGAAAATATAGGTAACCCTGCTCGTTCGAGAGCTATAGACCATCGTACCTCTTTACCTGATCTATCGATTGAAAACCAATACCATGATCCAGGGATGTGTGCACGCTTATTCCCCTGATTACATATTTTTTTATGCGCAGTACACGATGCAATACTGATAATTCAACTTAAACATTCTCGACTAGTCACCACCATCAAACAAATTTAGCCCTTCCTTTAAAAAGAGCATTGGTCTCCAAATAATTTTTTTAGGCCGAATGC